ACAAGTGTCTCTAAAAGTAACATAGCCAATCAGAAGGTTTATAAAAGCTTCTTTTGGAGGCATTTTTATCAATAAAAGAATATGAACAATATTCTTTTTTATATATAAGCGAAGCATTAATTGATAATATTTTAGCAAATATATAAAAAAAAAATTATCACTCGGAAAAATATACTCGTGGACAATAATTAAAAAAAATTATTTTTAATATACAATCAAAAAGTTTTTTGACGAATTATTTATATTTTTATATTTTTTGTAAATTATTTTTAAAATAATTTGTAATTTATGACAAGAAATTCATCTTTAATATATATGATGGTAGCTATATGTCATAAATGGCGTATTAGACTATACTATTTTATTGAATTTAAAAAGCTTCCAAAAAATACATAAACATGTGCTTATTGATTAAAAAAGAAATTTTCGATAGTTATATCCGATTTAAACGAATTCTTTTATATATACAATCTGATGATACTACAGCTATATTATAGAGATATCACATGACAAGCTTAACGATAAATAAAATATAAAATGTCCATAAGTTTTCGATAACAGAGTTTCGGAAAAAATTTGTATCAATATTATATAAAATATCTTGATCTATACGAATTAATCGACAATTAACAATAAAGTTAATTGATTTATGAATAAGGCAGCTTAATATAAATAAATTATAAATTTGTGGTATCACATTAGAATCAAATTACAATATTACATTATGTATTAATAGAGAATTAAATGTAGTGAAATTTACAATAAATTAGCTGTAAATGTTCCGAACAGTATTTTTACAACAATTACGTGATTATATTACAATTTGATACTGGTTAGTCACGATAAAATTATGTTAATAATTCGAGAACTATTATAACTTCCAATATTACCTAACCCTTCCAGTCACAACGTCACGTGTATATCTTTTTTTTAAATTATCATGTAATAGTTCATCAATATTATTGAACTTTTTATTTTCGGCTATCTAAAAATTCAACTTTGATTCTTTAATGATTGTTTGTTCAATATTGTATTTTTTTTGTTTTTTTTTTGTATAGGCAAATTAATACCCAAAATATGCTATTTTTTATATTAAATTTATTTATACTTAAACTATTCTTTGATAACAATATAAACGTGTGATTTTTTAAAAATATAATTTTAAAAATATAATTTTAAAAATATAATTTTAAATAACATAAATACTCTAAAGAACAAAATAAAAAAGAATTTTTGCAAATTTTTTTGTAGGTTCAATTCTCAATCCTTTATATTAAAAATGGCAAAAGTATAAATTTTTATGAACAAATGCAATTTGGTGATAATTTGAAACGTTTATGTGTTCATGCACTAAGATTTTTAGAGCTAATTTTTTTTTTTATCAAAATTTTGTATCGAAAATAGCGAATCCATATTGAATCCACTATTTTAAATTTTATTAGAAATTTGATATCGGATTTGAATTCAACCCAAAAATTTATGACATGCATGATGAGAAGATTCCCGAATTGCGTGACTGAAAAGGTTAAACTTATATAGGCTATAAGCTCATTTAGATTGTTCTTGTACTTAAATTTTCGTATTTTTGCAACTATAACAAAATACCATTGCACTGGATGTAACATATAGAATTTCTAATATATATATATATTCTATTAATATTTTATTTCTATATCGATAAATGTTTCATGCACATATTGTTTTAGAATGAAAATTATATATCGTTATATTTCTTTTGAAATGATCTGCTTACACCACAAAATACCGACACCATACTGCAAGTTCCAGGAAATAGGAAAGCAAGTAATACACGTAACGAGTATAATACTAAAGATATGGAGAATAATTTTACTGAATCCCTCAACCCTTGGTGAAATCATTATTCCACATGTTTACAAAATATTGCACGGAGAAAACAATAACAATAATAAGTATGGTATCCATGAAGCTCTTAAACATATTTACGTTATGATGTTCGGATTCTCTTTGCTTCCTTAAAATATGCTCTACAATTTGTTGTATATGATTCAATTTCTCATGATGTTCCATCATCTGATGTTCTACTTCTTTCATTATATCAATTATCCTAAAATTAATACATTTAAATATGCATTATTATAGGTTATAGTTTAAAAAATTTTGTACATATTATATATTACTATAAAATTAATAAACAATTTACAATATTTTTATTATAATCATCTTACCTGGTAGTTGATCGTCTTCTTTTTCCTACAGACTGACTAGAATCGGTATGTGCCTCTGCAGATGAACTTCCAGAATCATGAGCTGTCTCTGTCAGAGGCATATTATTTGATAGCTGTCTTTTTGAAGATTTGAGCACTGATAAGGAGGAACGTGATTCAGCTTGTAATAATGGGATCTGCAATGATTTATAATAACTATAATAATCTAGATAACTTCTAGATAATTAATTGCACTTAATATGTTACATGTTTTATGAATAATTTATAATACAAGAATACTAATGTCAATATTTTAAATTTAATTTCTAACTTATAGATTAATTGTTAAAATAATTATTAAAAGCTTCTTTAATATTCAAGCTTGAAATTTTAAGTTATAGTAAGCATACATATCGAGAGAGAAAGAGAGAGAG